CTGGACTGAATTGGCATTGTCTCTTGGAGTTCCTTGGGCTAGGCCTGACATCAATCTTCCTCAGGGAGGTGCCGGTCTCATCCTCTTGTTCCTCCCATGAGGTTCTGGTGAGCTAAGAAAATGTTTACCTCCCTGAGCTTGGCCTTCATAATTCCATTCCCTCACAGCCATGGGGGCTCCCTGGGGGACTTAGGGCTGGTCGTTCTCCCTCAGCCCAGCCTACTTCAGAAGGTGGTTGTGGGGAATAAGAAGAAGAAGGAATCCTAGCCAAGCAAGACTTTCCCATAGCACGAGAAGAATCTCTCCTATGCTCAGTTGGATTCTTGCTCCCTCAAGAGAGCATTTCAGTCTCCAGAAATGACCCTGCCGATGATGCTGGCCTACAACTCCCAGCAGGCCCAGTCGTGAAGGATGCTGGGAGGAGGAGTCCCACATCATCTAGAGCAGTGTTTCTCAACCTCAGCAACTTTAAGGTGTGTGGACTTCAACTCCCAGAATTCAACTCCCAGGAATCCTGGGAGTTGAAGTCCACATATCTTAAGGTTGGGCCACAGCGGCAGCACCCATCCATGGCCTCAGACCAGAGTCTTCCCAACATGACCCGGAGAAGCTGGTGTGACCTCATTATTTTGTTTGTCCATGGGGCGGACTCCTAAGTGTTGGGCTTGAGCTTAATGCATCTCCCAGCCCTGTGGCCGTTGATCCATGTTGACAGTAGATCCTGAGAGCCATGGCGGATGTCCAAGCATCATTTCCAACGACCAGGCTTTACCAGTTTCCTTCACCCATTGCTCCTCTGGACAGATTCCTAAATCTCCCTTATTCAAGCCAATTTGGTTCTCCAAACCTGGGCAGCCTCCCTTTATGTCTCCCCCTCGAGCCCCTCTGAATTTCAAGAAATAATTGAAATTTCTCCAGAATCCCAGCCCATTTGCACTCGTTTGTTTCCTTCTCAGAGCGAGTCGATCAAACCGGAGGAATTCACTCTGGAGATCTTCGAGCGCTTCCTGAACAAGCTTTGCCTTCGACCCGACATTGACAAAATCTTGCTGGAGATGTGAGTGAAAGAGAGCATCTTTGTGGATGTGAAGCCGATATGAAACAGAGAATTAGACGTGGTGTATCTTCTGAAGATCATTGTGATGGATTAGAGCCTATTTTTAGATTTCCTCTTTTTGATCATGGTTACTTTATACACACGTACACACCCAACATTAGCATACTTGTTAAGAGATTAGTATGGAGAAAATGAGATTTTATCTAAAACCATTAGATTTTGCCAGTCACCTTTTCAAACCCAGCTGCCCCCACTCAGTCTTTCGAATGGCTTGCAAGACTGTGTTGCTCAGATCTGATGCCAGGATTTTCCACATATTTTAAATATTTTGCAATAAAAAGAAGGATTTTAGGTTCTATGCACTCTGTTTCTTAAAAAAAGACTGTTAAAAAAGAGGCTGATGAAAAAAAGAGAGATAGTCCTCCTTTAGCAACTACCTCATTTAGCGACCATTCGCAGTTATGACAGTGGTGAAAAAGTAACTTTGCAACCAGTCCTCGCATTTACAACCTTCGCAGGTCTGTAAAGCCAAAGAAAGCTGAAATAAGATTGTAAAATCTAAGTGATGTTTCACTTAGCGACTGCTTTGCTTAATGACCAAGTTGCCAGTCCCAATTGTGGTTGTTAAACAAGGATTTTCCCAGCTTATGTGTGATTCTTGCAGTATGACTAAAATTCAGGATCTAAGGTTCTGTTTAAATTCCCCAAACAAGTTTCTAGTCCTTCTAAAAAGGACTGAACTGTATTTTCCTGGTGAGATGATGACATGAAACAGAGAAGTGTTTCTTACTTAGTTAGTCTGCAGGTTTTATGGCCCAAATCTCCCCGCCCTTTGAATGCCACATGCTGTAAATTCAGGGAGGGCCCAATGAACTTTCTTTCCTCTCCTTCTTTACCCGCTCAGCGGAGCCAAGGGAAAGCCGTATCTCAGCCTAGACCAGTTGATGGAATTCATCAACCAGAAGCAGCGAGATCCCCGGCTGAACGAGGTCCTGTACCCCCCTCTGACGCGGGCACAAGTGCGCCAACTGATCGCCAAGTATGAACCCAACCAGCAGTTCCAGCAACGGGGTAAGATGTTCCTTCTCCAAGATGGGAGCTAGGAAGCAGAGCATGAGTGGGGCAGAAGACAGGGCGCGTGTCACCCCGTGGGTCTCCTGACCACAGAGAATCTAGGGCAGCGTTTCTCAACCTTGGCAATTTTAAGCTGGGTGGACTTCGACTCCCAGAGTTCCCCAGCCAGCCTGGCTGGGGAATTCTGGGAGTTGAAGTCCACCCAGCTTAAAGTTGCCAAGGTTGAGAAACGCTGCTCTAGGGAGAGTCCGGAGTCTGTAAAAAGCAAGATGCTAGCAAATCTGACATTGGCGGGACGGAAGGGTGGATGGAAACAGGCCCGGCCGCTGAAAAGAAAAAAGAAAAGCAAAATCCCCCAAGATTTGAACCTATCTGTGTAGCAGTTAAGGTGCTGGATTGGAAAGCAGGAGATGGTGAGTTCTAGTCCTACCTTAGGCACAGAAACCAGCTGTTTCTCTCTCAATCTGTTAGCCCTGTGAGGGAGTCCAGGCCAGAAGCACCCCCAGGAGTACTAGCTCTATTTTTATTGTCAGGTAGTGTGAAGAGACTCTTGCAAGACTGAAAGTATGTCTCCCCTCCTTTCCTTTTACTCTCTGGAAAACTAGGGAGGGTCCCTTCCGAGATGCTTCCCATGTCCCTTTTCCTTCTCTGGGCTGAGCCACCTGTTATACGCCGGTTGTCTCTTCCTCCTGTCTCCCAAGGTCATTCCCACAGACCATGTCCAACCCAGGCCAACCCACCTCACAGGATTGTCGTTGTGGAGAAAATAGGAGGCCAGTCTCCAGCTGTACGCTGGCTCGAGCTGAACAGAATAGAAGCAGGAAATAATAATAATAATAATAGGAGTAATATAGGGCTGGTTCTTGAACGGAAGCAGTTGCTGAAGTTCGGTTTGTCATTACAGCTTTTATTTTATTTATTTCCTTTTCAAATTTATATAGGCCGCCCATCTCGCTATACGAATGACTCTGGGCGGTATATAGATATGATATGATATGACATGACATGATATGCTATAACATAACATAATATTAGTTTAAGCAGTTTAGTTTGAAGTTTTGTTTTCTTTTCTCAGCTTGTCTTAGGGGTGTGGTCTTGATGGAA